TTGAAACGGAGATCCGGTCCCAAGTTTGTGTAAAATAACTGGACATCACTGCACACTATTAGGTAGCCAACTAAACTTTAACACGTGCATCGCACGTGCGCCACTAGTTTCTATGATAAGGACGAGGATTGAATAATGTCGTCATTCTAATTTTTTGAAAAAAACAAATTTAGTTAAAAAATGCTTCAATAATATTTCGCGCTTGGTGAGAGTGATTATTTGAAGAGTAATTTTTTCCCCTTTTTCAGTGAACACGTGACTAGAAAATAAGTAAGATGCATGGTTGAAAATGAGTAGAGGAAAAGTGGTTTTTTTTTTTTGGGGAAATCACTTTCAAACAAGGGCTTATTTTGGTCTTTTGAAGAGGGGGTTTTTTTTTTAGATAGTTAGAAATAATTGAAACTTTCAAATAAATTCTTACGCATAATAGTTCATATAAAGACTTGCATTAATTCATCGTATTATTTTTAAGAGGGATTTCTTTGACAATTTTTTTTCTCAAATTTATTTTTAACTGTATATTTTTTTAATGAAATAATTTTGCAAGTGCACTCGTAACCTTTTCATATTTCATAACCACATTCTCATAATTTTTTTTTTAAAATTTTAAATAATCTCTCCCAAACTCAAAATAAAGGTATGTTATGAAAAGTGAATTTTTTTTTAAAAAAATGTTATTAAAATATAGGGAAAAATTATAAATTTATGGTGCCCCGGGTAGTTGGGTCACACGTCCCTACACTAAATTTAAATTCAAGATTCTGCACAAAATTTTCAAAAAATTCCTTCAATCGTTTTCAATTTTGCCCACACAATTAAAATTTTGTGAAATTTGTCCTCGCAACTCTACAATTCTGGCTTTGCCCCCGTCTACATGCATGCATATTTTACATTTTAAGTTTCTATTTTGAGAGTCTATTTTAATATTGTAGAATATTTGATTTATTATTCTGAAAAATTATTTTTCCAATTAGAAAACAAAAAAACACTCATGGTTTGAAATTTTACAAAATTATTTTATGACATTTCATTTAATAAATTTGATTGTTCAGTAAAGTAGAACAATTTTATGCTAATATATTATCAAGTAATATATACATTCTAAAGACGATGAATCTTACCTATTTTTCTTGCTACAAAAATAAAGCATAAAGAAATGATAAATTGACTTGGTTAAAAATAGAAAATAAAAATTAATAACGTGAACTGCGAATTAAATAATGTAATTGTAAATGATAAAATTGCAGCAAACTATTTAAATTATTTAATAGCAAGTGGACTAAGATTACAAAATTAAATACAATATATAAATATACAAAATCATAAGATAGTCGGTGAGTTGTTTGACTAGCTTCAATATTTCTGTAGCAACTTAATTCCTGACTTGTCTCTTATGAGTTGTTTGACTAGTTTCGAATTATATGATTTCTTGATATACACTTGACTCCAATGCATTTTGAAATGTCGTATTCTCCAATGAATATTGAGCAAAAATGACAAATTTTAAGCCTAACATGAGAAGAATCCAAGCAATTAAAGGCTAACCGAATTGCACAGAATCAATAAGAAGCCAACTGCCTGCATGTTTCAAATGCAATTCCTTTGTTTGCACCATTAACAACAGCATAGCTGCAATTACATAAATAAAAAAACAACAGCAGCAGCAGCAAAATTATCAAATAAAATTAGGATTTTTATATATTTTTTTTAGATGATGTAGAAAAATAGCGATAAATACTTGATTGTTTCAGTACTCTTGTTGGATTCTTTGGCCATAAATAATCGAGAACTCGAACTAATTCTGCTGAGAATTATTTGATTTACTGGCTTTCTTTCTGTGCTTTTGTGGCTATTAGCTGTGTAAAGACTTCTCAAAATTTGACATTTTGCATTTCTATCCTCAGAAAATAGAAAAATTTTGGACCTTTATTTTGTTCAATTGCATCACACTTTTTCTACTTTGAGCGAAATCACAGATAGTGTTATTAATGTGGTTCCTTGGTAAGAATTGTCCACAAATAGCAAAGGAGAGGATTGCACCGTTGATAGATGGCATTACTCAACAATTAAGACACCACTACGACAGATCAAATGTTAACCGGATTAAAAGTTTAAACTATTAGAGGAGGCCATACTCGCTAATTTTTATCTTCAACTTAAAGCTGGGTCGGACAGAATACATATGAGAGATGATGAATGATGCTTTCAGTCTTTGCGGAAGTGTTGGACATGCTAGTGCAAGAAGTTTACCATTTGATTCAAGAAAACCATTAAAATGATTCTAATTGAAATTTCACAGTTATTGCATTTCCAATTAAATTTATCTACCAAAACATCAAATGGTATGGTCACAAGAGTCATTATCCCTAGAAAGATGTCACTTCCTTCCTCTCAAAGAACAAGCCAGAAGGCCCATCTTCAGGCAGCAGCGCCACCATTACCGGACCTTCTGCACCTTCTTCAACTGTCAATATGCCAATATTGTGAGTCATATCTGTTTTGATATAGCCAGGGTCCACGCAATTGATCTGAAAATGTGGGTACTTCTTTCCCAGAATCCTTGTGTATGCATTCAAGGCTGCTTTAGCTAGTACGTATCCGGATGAAGAAAGAGGCCAGCCTTTGGCTTCAAGGGAACCTTCCTTGAAGTCTTTCAAAAACTCATTCAGCACCTGATCAATACTCTCTTCTGTAAGGTTTTCACCATCATTCAGTACACTTTTAGCCCACTCACTGGGTATATTCTGAAATTCATGAAGGAAAACTTGATGTCCGTGGTCTAGGAGTATATAAATAATGATAAATCATTAAATACTCATAAAATATAACTTGCTAAATAACAATGCTCTCAATATTGTCAAACACTTGATAGTTTTCTAGAGAAAACTTTTTCAGCGAAGAGACTTGATATTGTGGCTCAATTGACTTAGTTTTGAGCTCAATGTATTTTATGAAAATCCGAAAGGTTATAGGTAGATATTAGAGATAACAGCTCAAACAAATCCTAGTTCAGAGTAATTAATTATATTATAGTAAGCAATGGTAGGTTTCCTAGCTGAATCAAATCCTAGTTCAGAGTAATTAATTATATTATAGTAGGCAATGGTTGGTTTCCTTTCTTGGAAAGATTCTGAACAAGCATAATCGTGTATGAACGTTCAGCAATACAAACAAAGGCAAAGAATGCCTTCCCCCAAATTCTCATCCCTCCCATGCAGAGTTTTGAGTAGAGAGAAGTGTCAAATGTTATACCTTTAACTTTCCCATTGAAGAGGAAACATTTACAATTTTTGGTGAATTAGATAGCCGGAGTAGGGGAAGCATTGCCTCGGTAATTCTCTTTGTACCATAGTAGTTTGTTTCCAAACATTCTACCGCTATGTCATATGTCTGAGTCATTACGTCATTCCAGTTAATTTGTGCCTCTCTGGGCTGACCAACAAAATGAGTAAACAATGACCAAAGTTGGAGAATTCGGAAATCAGCAGGGAGCAAAGCTTTATCTCTGCATTAGTCGTCGTTTTATGAAAAAGTAAACAAAGAACACAGAGTATAGGCAGTAAACTTCCTTCTGAAAACATAATATATTCCTGCTATTTCATAAATTCATATTTTCATCTGATATTTACGATTCTCAAAGGCTTCATTTTGTAGTAATGTTGACATATAACTCAAGCAAGCAAACACAGGGCACATAGGAATCCCTGCTAAGAGCACTTAGGGAGTCCACAGTACACTAGGACTTACCTCAGTGGCTGCGGCTTTCGAAGCTCTTAGAGCATCCCCATCGATAATGGCTCCAAAAATCCCTGCATTATTCACCTGTATGCACCCTCCTTCAAATTAGAAAGTTTGCATAATTGAGGATTTCAAAATGAAAGTTTAAACCAGACAAACAATCATTGAGAACTCCTCTCTGGCTTTAAACAAGCTAATTCAAAATGGTATAAGAAGCTATTGACTCCCGCATACAACCATCGAGTCCAACATTATCCTAGAAGTACTAACACGACTCTCCTTTAAAGATGATAAGGTAAGTTGATCTAATAGCTAATCATAGTCATCAACCACTGTAAATTTGAATAAAAGTTTCAGATATTACCAAAATATCGAGACTTCCAAACTGGGATTTGATGAATTCAGCTAGTGAATTGATACCTGCTGGATCTGTAATATTAAGCTGATGAAAAACTATATTATCTGAAAAACCACACACTTTGAGTTTCTCAACAGCTTCAAGACCCCTCTTCTCATCTCTGGCAGTCAATACCACTGTAATTCCATTGGAAGCCAATTGCCTGCATATTTCAAATCCAATCCCTTTGTTTGAACCAGTAACAACAGCATACCTGATATTAATAAAAAAACAACAAAAAATTATCAAATGAAATTAGAAAAATTCCAATTTTGACGCTGCAGGAAAAAAGTAATGAATACTTGATTGTTTTTGTGTTCCTGCTGGATTCTTGGGCCATGGATAAATCAGAGCATTTTTACTAATTCTGCTGAGAATTGTGTGATTACTGTCTTTTGGCGTTCGTATGTCTGTGGTGTGTGATGTGGTGTGGTGTGGTCCAAGAGAGCCTCGAACGTAAAAGGTGTAGGGTTGTGCTATTGGTACAGAAATGCTTGACATAAGCTATTGAGATAATGACATGGCAGCTATTTATTCTTTCTAGAATGTCTATATTGTCCTTAATGAAATATTTTGCAGGTTAAGTCCTGTATCTTTTATTTCTTTTTGATTTGTAAAAACAATTATTATTTTATACGACGTTCTTTTAATTTTTCTATTTGTTCTAAATATTCTCTATATTCTACTATTTTTTCATAAGCTCTAGGTTGATCTTTTCTAGTTATATATCCGAAAATAATTCCTTCTGAAACTTCTTCTTTTATATTCACGTATTTAGTTATGACATTTTCAACTCTTTTTATTTCTTTATTAGTTTCTACAGAGTCAAATCCTATATTATGTCTACAGACATAATTTATATCAAAATATATTTCTTTAAGTTTTTCTTGGCCAACAAGAAGTATATCTTCAGATTTTTCAACAATACTTAGNATTTTTATATTTACCTTAATCACTTTGATTTAATTTGATTCACAATATATTTACCTTTTCTATCAATGTAATTTCCCTACAAATAGGGACATATGCTTTGTATTCATCAATCAATTCAATCAATAAAGATGTAGCCATTATTGAATCTCTTGCTCTCTTTCTCTTCTCCATCTTCTTCTTTCTACATTGTATTTCGTTATTTATCACACAGTACACTAGGACTTACCTCAGTGGCAGCGGCTTTCGAAGCTCTTAGAGCATCACCATCGATAATGGCTCCAAAAATCCCTGCATTATTCACCTGTATGCGCCCTCCTTCAAATTTGAAAGTTTGCATAATTGAGGATTTCAAAATGAAAGTTTAAACCAGACAAACAATCATTGAGAACTCCTCTCTGGCTTTAAACAAGCTAATTCAAAATGGTATAAGAGGCTATTGACTCCCGCATACAACCGTCGAGTCCAACATTATCCTAGAAGTACTAACACAACTCTCCTTTAAAGATGATAAGGTAAGTTGATACTTGATCTAATAGCTAATCATAGTCATCAACCACTGTAAATTTGAATAAAAGTTTCAGATATTACCAAAATATCGAGCCTTCCAAACTGGGATTTGATGAATTCAGCTAGTGAATTGACACTTGCTGGATCTGTAATATTAAGCTGATGAAAAACTACATTATCTGAAAAACCACACACTTTGAGTTTCTTAACAGCTTCAAGACCTCTCTTCTCATCTCTGGCAGTCAATACCACTGTAATTCCATTGGAAGCCAATTGCCTGCATATTTCAAATCCAATCCCTTTGTTTGAACCAGTAACAACAGCATACCTGATATTAATAAAAAAAACAACAAAAAATTATCAAATGAAATTAGAAAAATTCCAATTTTGACGCTGCAGGAAAATAGTAATGAATACTTGATTGTTTCCGCGTTCCTGCTGGATTCTTGGGCCATGGATAATTCAGAGCATTTTTACTAATTCTGCTGAGAATTGTGTGATTACTGTCTTTTGGCGTTCGTATGTCCGTGGTGTGTGATGTGGTGTGGTCCAAAAGAGCCTTGAACGTAAAAGGTGTATCCATGTACGAAAATCATTTTAAAATACTAACGAAATTTTACCCATTTTTAATAGTATTGAAAATTAAGGTTTCATTCCGAAAAATTAATTTATTTTAGCAGCAAAATCCCTAATAAACCAACTTTTTATCTGTATTTAATCGATATAGAATTTTGTTACATTCCTTAACAATTATCATTCAAATTACCAAATGATATCGATCCCTCCACATGCGATAATCTCTTCATCCCTTTCTTAAATGAGACAAGATATATGCTCTATCAAGATCCAATCTTTTAACTGCATCAAATCAATAACAATTGTTGTCTAACATTGATACATGGGGACTATCACATTCGAGAGCCAACCAACCAGTTAGTGTAATTAATTGGGTGTTCAAACAATTCGTAGTCATATTATGCATTCACATGAATACAGTTTGGAACTTAGTTCTATTCTCTAGCCTTCTACACACAAATCGCACCCAACTCCACCATCGCATTTCCTAAGCCTCATTCTCACACCACAATGGAGGGAGGAAATTATTATTTTTGAAGATTCTTAATTAATATTTTTTTTTCTTTTTTTGATTGAAAATGAGAATATAATCATCTTTAGAGTCCAAATATCCCATTAAGTGATCCACACATGACATTTTAATTATTAAGATGGGCGAAATCATCAATAGTGAATCAATTGCTACAAAATCATAGGTTAGAAACCCATATGTCAAGAAAACTTTCTGTAGGCACAGTCCAGCAGGAGAAGCCATACAATAGCTTTTTGGCTGCTACACATTAATTTATTATACAATACAAAAAGGCCACCAAGGAACAGAACATAATTTATTACATTGAGCCAAAACTACCTATGGAGATTGAAAGAGCATGAAGATGAAGAGACAATCAAAAAGACGATATGTCCTTCCTAGAAAAGAAGAACCCGGAAGGAGCTCCATCGGGCAATAGCGCGAGCCACACTGGACTCTCAGCTCCTTCTTCGACACTTGAGACGCCTCTATTGTAGTTCATATCAGTTTTCACATAGCCAGGGCAGATGGAATTGATCAATAAATTGGGATATTTCTTGGCCAGTATCCTTGTGTAAGCATTCATTGCAGCTTTTGATAATGTATAAGCAGTGAGAATCGAAGGCCAGCCTTTGTCTTCTAACAGATTTGCACTAATATCTGTTAAAAACTCGTTCAAAACAGCGTCAACTTTTTCTTCAGTAAGGCTATTGGCATCGCTTAATATTCCTTTAGCCCATTCATTGGAAACAAACTGCGAGAACATGAAGATACATCAGTTTTAGAGTGACGACCAACCCAAGTTCTGGCCCTGTGATGATAATTTGCACAGTCCTAGAATATAGCACATGACCTTTAACTCATGACGTTATTTTCTGAAAAAACAGCCCAGTTGTGTCCACTGCAGAATATCAAATAACACAGTGAAAGATTGATAGATTTTAATTACTCACCTTTAACTTACCAGAGGAAGAGGAGATATTGACGATCCTTGCTGAGTCGGATAACTGAAGGAGAGGTATAAGGGCTTCGGCCACATTTTTTGCACCATAGTAATTTATCTTCAAGCATTCTTCTGCCAGTTCATAATTTTGAGTTGACACCTCACTCCAGTTTATGTATAATCCTTGCTGCATCAAGGATATCAAGATTCAAAGTTAATTTCTTCAGTAACTGACCATTGAGAAACAAACTTCACCTGTTCTGCTTACGCTTCATAATCTGTTAATTTCACATAGAAGTCAGAGATCTAACTTTGGATTAACTTAAAGAGACCGTAAAATGTCATTCTAATCAATTTCTCGATGCTAAGATCACCAAAAGTTACATATTTTTAAGCCAGATTTAACTTCATCAGCACTTACTTTACTACTTGTTGAAGCTCTAACAGCAGTCAAATCCACATTTATTCCAATTACTGCTGCATTATTCACCTGTATATGAAACAAATATCACTACAACTTAGGGATAAAAGAATAGTCAATTTCTTCTAATGCAGGCATGATCAACCAACGTGCAAATTGAAGCTATGCCCTTCATCAATTTCTAAGTTGGAAAACATTGTTGGTCATCTAACTTTAATCTTCTTTCAACATGATCACTAAAGCTACAATTTTATTTCATTAAGGTCGCCTCCACAACTTGACGTGACAAGTTTTTATTGTACTCTTGGCACGCGACATAAGCATAATCACGTTTTTAACTGAAAAAACCGCACTATCACAATGCGATTATTTTCTGGAAAAATGCATATGAATATGAATCGTACCAAGATATCAAGTTTTCCAAATTCAGTCTTGATGAAATCTGCAAGATGAGCAATACTGGAGGCATCAACAACATCAAGCTGATGGAAAATGAGATTATCGAAGAAATAACTACAAGTAGAAGACCCTTTGAGTTTCTCTACAGCTTCAACACCCTTCTTCACGTCTCTGGCAGTTAAAACCACTGTAATTCCCTTTAAGACTAGCTGTCTGCATATTTCAATTCCTATACCTTTGTTTGCTCCTGTCACTACTGCAATCCTGAAAGCATATCCAATTATGCATAACAATCTATATGGCAATAAACCAAGCGATGATTGAGAAATAATTGATTAAGAAAGTTCTTTAATCCTTCCTGAGAGTACCTTTTTGTTGCCAGAAAATCTGATGATTCTGCCATGAGAGAAAGAAGATGAGAGAGAGACTCCTCAGGGGATAATAATTCATACAATTTAGTTAATTAAACGATTCTGTCTTCTATTGTTTGTTTCACGCTAAAGGCAATGGAGAATAGCACACAAATGCTGACATTTATACTAGTCAAACAAAGAGACAAATTAATACAAGTCGTCATTCATGATATCAAATCCATAGTTAAACCAGAATAATTCATATCTAAACACTTCCACAATAGCCTATATTCTTTCTAATTATCAGTTGAGCTTTTAGATGAGCTAGTTCAAAAATTCATGCGTGAGTTGCACATGACATTTCTCCATCGAAACTTCTGAATTAAATTGTTAATGAAACTTTCAAAAAAACCTGCACGTCTCATATTTTTTGATCAAGAAATGAAACAAATTTGTATTGTCAATAGCATCTCCAATAAACTCTTTTAAGTACAAAATGCTCTTTATTTTAGAAAGTTAATGCTAAAAATGAGCTTCAAGAGACTATTTTTTAGCTCTTTAAAATATGAAGAGAAATCAATAAACGTTTATTGAGTAAAGCAAAATGAAACCAAAATAGAAAGTTTGCTGAAGTGTATAAAAATTGACTCTCTAAATTTAAGGATACTCTCTATTATACATAACATGCTCTTTATAAATAAATAGTCGTTTGGAGATGCTCCAAGCATCAAACACTACACATGCTCGTAAAGGAATCCAGGCTGCATGTCTGCTCGTAAAAAAATAATTTGCATTCTGCTATTTGTTAAACGTTAATAAATAACACATATCCATCACCAAAAAAAAAAGAATAATAAATATGTGCTCGGCAGACAACAAGATCCCTATTTATATTTATAACTCTGTACGTGGCATTCTGTAAAATTTCATTTAAAGAATCGAGATCTTGAACGAAGAATTTGTCATTTTTTAATCAATTAATTCAGTTTTGTTGATTGCCCTCCTGTATTTTCGGATAAATGATATCCAGATCAATCACGTAATTAGATGTGCATTTAAAATAAGTACAAATGATTAATTAGCTGGAAATCGAAAGCACGAGTATATTACAGAAGCACATGGGCTATCACAGTTCCAAGGAAACAAAATTTGCTACTGATGATTTTGCCGGAAATGTGTTGTCAATAAAAAAATGTTTCATCCTGCATATCTTGCTTGGCATCTACTCTCTGCAGCTCATGCCTAATTTTTCACTGTATTTTTCCAATTGCAGGCCCAGATAGACCAGAAAGAAACTGGGGAAAGGAAGAGGGAGGCCAACCCAGCAAACCACTGTTACCATGCCCCTATTAGTAAAACATGTACTTCTTTCAAGGCTTGCTAAGCTTCTTTATGTGACCGACATCACAAAAGTAGTCCGCTGAACGATTGTCGATCGAGGGTTAAAGTATAATCTTTTTTAACCCTGATGGGTTTCACAGTCGCCCATTTGATAGCCCTGTTCCAGAATATACAGAATAGGGCTTCGATGAGCCCTAGATGTAAAGTAACGGGTTCACGCACCCTATGAACGATTGTCGATCGAGGGTTAAAGTATAATCTTTTTTAACCCTGATGGGTTTCACAGTCGACCAATCCATAGCCCTGTTCCTGAATATCTAGAATACTTCGATGGGTAAAGTAAAGTGTTTGGAGAAAGTACAGGGGGTATCTTAAGTCATTTTATATTTTTCAGTTGTTGACTAACATACATTAGTCACAATGCGTTCAAAGCATTCAACAAATATATGTGGTTAAAAGATTGACCCGAGTCTTCTTGAAAAATAAAATTTATTTAAGCCTTTAAAGTTGGTATGTCCAGTTTCAGCTGTCACTGATTCTGCACATAACCTACCAACCTGATTTTTTAATCCTGATTGCTGCCAAAAGTGTGCATGAAAAAGAAAGAATACAACAGAAATAATCTCACGCTGATAAATCAGTGAGCATTAGTTACAACAAGGATGGTATTCAAAAATGGAAACGAGCTCATTGTTTTATATGATGCCTGCTCTAACTAGTTCTGTTGTTTATTAGTCTGCGTAAGTTTCGTAAAAATTAGCTTTTAGGAATACAATGCTGTAGGGAAATTTTGAATAATCTGCAGAATAAATAGCCTCAGTAATTGCGAGAAATGCTTCACTTTTCGTGAACAAGAGGGCTGTAAACTGGGTACCACATGTTGTCCTTTACATATTGCAAAGTTTCCTCCTGCATTCAGCAAAATTAAACCACAGATCAGACAACAATACAATTATGATGTATTATATTTCGTTGTATTGAGTACTCTTGAAAATCGCAAGGTTTGGAATTCCATAAAAGGTTACTAGATATAATCTTTTTCCCTTTATCAAGGCCAAGATTTGTCTAAACCGACCTTCGACATGTGTGACAGTTCTTTGGATCCCACTTCGCCGTGCCCTTCAGCCACTTCTTCTACAACAGCTGTCCTCAAAACGGCAGCTCCAACTTCAGCTGTAATATCCCGAATACTGACCATAGGCAAACCATATGTTCAGTAGAATTCATAAAGCAAAATGGTCGTCAAAGGAGCATATTGAAAATTCATCAACAATTTTTACAAATCAAAAGACAATGAGCTATCTTCCTTATTCCTTAGAAGATGATAACTACACATCTCAACATCATCTAAAATGGACACTTTATTGATGCCTCATCAGTCAGAGAAGCCGAGTCTTACCTATCAATAGATGGATACAAGACACCTCTTCGAATTTCTTCATCTGTCATATAAGATGCAAGACTGCAAAAACAAACAAAACCACATCTTAGCTAAGAGTGGACTATTTTTACACCATTACGGCATATTCAGTAGACTAGACTAGACTAGACTAGACATACGAGACAATATAATAGTCTTTTTTTCCTCTCTTTAAATTGGCCGTAATAAATGGCAGTGATTTCTTTTTCTTTTGAATCACACTAGGGTATGTTAGTCTGTTTGACATACAAGTTAGGGACCATGCTATCACAGATTTAAAAGGTTGAGGACCCTGGTCCACATTTGATAGGTTGGGTGCCCAAAGTCCACACTTACCAAAGGTTGGGGACTCCAGCTGAAATTTACCCAAAAAAAGTTTGAGCATGGAACTGGAAGCCGAGGAAAAAAAGTCTATTTCTTTAATCTTGTAATTTGAATATGCACAAACCACATATTCAATAATAAAGCTAAAGTTTCTCCCATTCTCCTACTTAAATCATAAAGTTCTCATTCCATTACACATGGGTCATGTAAACTATGATATCAAACATTCACAGTTTTCATGTAACTCACATTCTCCTAATCTTCAAATATATTATTCAGCTCAGTATATTCATCAATTTTAAGAGGCCTGGAGAAAATTAGTTGGTTGAGTTTTTACATTGAAAACAAAATTGTACCAAACAAGCTGTAAAATTGGTATAACCAGGCAGCATGACGCAACTTGTCAAAGATAGTATAACAGAACTTTTGCCAAGTTGGAAGTTCCGTGAAATTCCAATCTTTGACCTGGTTAAAGGACTAAAATCTCAGATACCCTGTTCCAATTATTTATTATTATTATTATTATTTTTTAAAAGAATGGAGACAGACATATAGTTGCCGTTTTTTGGAGCTAACATTAAACAACTAAACAAACCTTGCAATTGCAAGAAGATATAATCTGTGTTAAGAGGAAGGAATAAGAAGTCCTCTAGATCTTTTGAATAAGTAGCATGGAACATCATTACAAAGGTTGGAGGCATAGAATTTTATAGCATACCACTCAGCAGCTGCTTGCAACATTCTATCAGTGATAATACGAGCACCAGAGAGCAGAGCTCCTAAGCCAATCCTAAATGAGCGAAAACATAATTTGAGAGGTTAGTTGGCGTAAGTTTCTAATTTCTGAAAGTACTTGTAGGAAATATTACAGACCCGGGAAAGAGGTACATGTTATTTGCTTGATTCACATGGCCTATTTTTCCATTCCCTGTCCACAAATGTTATGCAATTGGTACTTGTCATAAAAATAAATAAGAATGTGCAATCACACAGCAATGCAATGGTAGTTCCAATATCAACAAGCAGCTCAGTTCTTTTCGCTCCACCCCAGAAAATGGGAAAGGAAATGGAGGAGTTGATCTTTCACAGTGGAAGAGAGAGCTAAATTGATTAACAACTATTATATACTGCCAAAAGTAGCCATCTATAGAATAAAAAAGAATACCAAGATTAACGTCTGAGAAGGGGCTCCCACTTGCAAATACTATATCTTCACCAGCATGTTTGAAAGCCTCAATAGCAGTACATTCGGCTGTATAATAAAGCATGTACAGATAAAGTTCAAATATTCAACAGAAGTATCGTAAATGCCATCAATGAAATATATTCATGATTAAGAGAGCTTCTGGACAAACCATTTGCTGTGGGATTTGACATTGCAAAAACAGCAGGTTTAGTGGAGTCCGACTCTCGCATAGCCTTAAGGACCTGATTAAAACCCCAAGAATTAAGCAAAGAAAAAATTCATGCCTTTCGTACATTTGAAAACTTTCAAGTAATACATATAATACAAAGAAGCAAACTTTTATGCAATGTCAACCTCCTCATTAAAGACACCGCCAACTCCAGACAAGCCAAGAAGCACATGCGGCTTAACCTTCTTGACCTGCACAGAAGTTAATTTTCTGCAATTATCGTCTAACACAAAGGATCCATTACTCTTAATGATGATAAAGTCATCCATACACCATAGGGCTCAGCAACCTTCATATTCAAGCCAACTAGCTTCGCCAATGCATTAGTTCCTTTCCAAAGTATATCACACCCTCCACAGCTCTAACTCTCAGATGTTGCACAAAAAGGAAAACTTACCACTTCAGTAAGACTGGCTCCCTCACTAAGTCCTAGTCCTTTAATTTCTCCTTGGGTTTTGGCAAAAGGCACAGCTGCAGGATCAATATCTTTTCTCTCTTTCGTGATAAGACCCTGCAGTCATACATTCACTAAATACGTAGGACCAAATTC